GGAATCCGGGATTGTGCGGAGATGTAGAGGGTTTGTGTGATGGAAGAAGTGAAGTCAAGAACATGGGTTATGTTTGGATGTTGAGATCAATCTTTATGCTTGCTGTGTTGGTGCTTACGGTGGGTTTAGTTTGGTTCTACTTGAAGTACAGGAAATTCGAGAAGTCTAAAAGGTCGATTGATCGATCCAAATGGACACTAATGTCGTTTCATAAATTGGGTTTCAGTGAGGATGAAATACTTGATGCTCTTGATGAGGATAATGTCATTGGAAGTGGGTCGTCTGGGAAGGTTTACAAGGTGGTTCTGAGCAACGGTGAGGCAGTTGCTGTGAAAAAGCTTTGGGGATGTTCGAAATTGGCTGACGAGAGTAGCGATATTGAGAAGGCTAATTTTCCAGAAGATGGCTTTGATGCGGAGGTGGATACCTTGGGGAAGATAAGGCATAAGAATATTGTTAAGTTGTGGTGTTGTTGTTCAACAAGGGGATGCAAGCTTTTGGTTTACGAATACATGCCTAATGGTAGCCTAGGGGATTTGCTTCATAGCACAAAAAGTGGATCGTTAGATTGGCCGATAAGGTTTAAGATAGCCATGGATGCAGCGGAGGGACTCTCGTATTTGCATCATGATTCTGTCCCTCCTATCGTTCACAGAGATGTGAAGTCGAATAATATATTGTTGGATGCAGATTATGGAGCTCGGGTTGCAGACTTTGGTGTGGCTAAGGTGGTTGATGTGAATGGGAAGGGTACCAGATCCATGTCTGTCATTGCAGGGTCTCGTGGTTACATCGCTCCAGGTTCGTAAGTTAATCTTTTCCATTGTGCTATGAAATTTTACGATTCCTAGTTGTACATAGCTTGCTTGATTTGCTTGTTGGGTACTAATGTACAATTGTAAATTTTGATAATTAGAATTGCAGATATATTTTTACAGAATAAGGTTTAGTTTCTAGTGTATTGCATTTTTCAGAATGGATGCCATAGGAGTAGGTGACACTGAAGTGTTTCTGGGGTGAAGAAGGAGCCCAGAAATGATTAGTAATCTATGAGCATTAGCAATTGAAATGAGTTCTTTAACGAAATCCACTAGTTGCTATCATTGTAGGATATATCCTTTTGTTTTTTTAGGTCCTCCTTTTGTTATCATCATTGTTCATCATTAAGAAATTTATGTAAATGCCGATTTAATCAACTCTCACTTTCCGATACAGAATATGCATACACTCTAAGGGTGAACGAGAAGAGTGACATCTACAGTTTTGGCGTGGTTATTCTTGAGTTAGTGACCGGTAAACTTCCAGTCGATCCCGAGTATGGCGAGAAGGATCTGGTGAAATGGGTATGTTCCATATTAGGCCAAAAGGGTTTAGACCACGTAATCGACCCAAAACTTGATTCCTGTTTCAAGGACGAAATAAGCAGAGTGCTGAACATAGGCCTTCTCTGTACGAGTCCCCTGCCCATAAACCGGCCTTCCATGAGACGTGTTGTCAAGATGTTGCAAGAGATAGGCACCGTGAACCTTCCCAAGACTGCTTCGAAAGATGGCAAATTGACACATTATTACCACGAAGATGCTTCGGATCATGGAAGTGTCGCTTGACGGACGGAGTCGGTGGCCGGTATGAACGTTTTCGGGGTCCTTATGAGGTGATGCATATACAGAATTGAGGTGAAGTAGTAATAGTAAAAGAATCAATGAGGAGTTGATGCTTTCTGAAAGCTGTAAATGAATCAACCACCAAAGTTTTCCAATACCAAAGATTTCAAGTCATATGCATTGATTCCTCTGTTTGTGTTGCTACCTAAATGTACTGTTTATTGACATTTCTGTTGAATCTTCATCTTGTAGTAGGTGAATTTCCTTTTTATCTAATCAAAGCATTTTCAGTTGTTTGTTGGTGTGGAAGTTGTTGCTTCTTTAATGGTAAATACTAGGGATTGTACTATTTTCTTAAACTATCTCTATATCATATTAGGCTATAATGAATAAGATTTTATTTATTTATTTATTTATTTATTT